TACTGACTAGACTATGTTGAAATTCAATGGGTCATGCCTTTTGAAAAAAAATTTTTTTACAATGTGTCTTGGTCCAATTAGAGGTTTGAGAAGGTTTATAATTAAGACTCTTTCCACTTCAGGTGACAACAGTAACATCTCCAGCTACTTGTGAAGAAACAAAAGATGATGAATCAGGGTTAAATGAAAATACTCTGCCAGTTGAAAATCAAGAAACTGAGTGTGAGTATCCCTCCCCCTACTCCATCCTAATAAAAAGAAACAAAACACCATTATTGCAAATTTTTGTTGGAAATCAGTTATTTTTTTCTTTTACTTTTCTTACAGGTGATGCAACTACATTCCAGATCTCAATAACTGGAGATGACACTTTAGCAAATACAAGTGAAGTAGATGAAGCAAGTGCTGCTTATAATAAAGGATTGATGTCCAAATTGCTGGACCAAGTGGTGGCACAAACGAAAGGCTATACTGTTGAACGTCTTGAAAAGCTGTACAGTATACTGAGTCAATGTATTTATCATCATAGACTTGATCTGGACAAGTCTGAATTATGTCTAGTAAGTAACTTCTCATATGCATATATTTCAGTATTGTAAAATGTAGACTTTGTGAATCTTATTTTGCTTCCTTCTTTTTCAGGAGATGGAAAAGAAACTGTTGCAATACACTTCTCAGCACAATGCCCATATGCGGCGACATGTAAATATGACTTGAGTTGTATGAGTTTACAAGCTAATTAATTATAATGAAGAAAGCTTGTTTGGGTGGGAGCATATTTGAAAGTGTGAATTGAAACATAGATGTAAATTCAAGCATCTACCCCCCTCCCCCTTTTTAAACATCAGGAAAGAGAAAATATTGGAACAGTTTAAGGTCCCCCCACTCCTTAGTCATATTTGTCACTGCAGAAAGAGAATAATCATTCCCATCCTCATTTTGATTTTTATACAACTGTCAGCACTGAAGAGCTCTTAAGAAATTAAGTTGAAAAATTATTCCATTTGATCTCAGCACTATTTATTTGAGAAAATGGTGACAAATAAGTTACTCATACACTGACATTTAATTAAAAACATCTCCCTTAAAATGGGTCATTTTACAAACTTTAGCCCCTTTTTGCTTCTTGTTCCCATCCCTTAAAGAGAAAAAAAGTCATTTCCACAACTATTTTGGAGGTGGAAACATTACATTTTTATTACAACTTGAAAGAACTGACAACCTACTTTTGCATTAATTGACTGTATTACTACCAATCCTCGACTATCTTATTTTTTTTTCCTTTTAATAGAATGTTTTACTTTTAAAGTCATACTGAGTTTCTAGTGATAAATAAAAGGAATACAAACTAATTGTATTGTTTGTTTTAAATAATTCAAAAAAGAATTAGGTTGGTAGTAATCTTTTTCATTCCCTTAAAACTTTACAATTAGAGCACATAACTTTTAAAAATGTTTATATATTGTTGCTCCTATTGGCTGATATTTCATGAAAGAAGGAAAAAAAAAAAAAAGTCTTTATTTAGTAAACAGTCACTGGGTCTTAATACCTCAACTTGGCCAGACCAACTAATATTACCTGCTGTGATAACAGAACATAGGTCTTGTCACTACTTGGAGAGAAAGCAACGCAAAAAAAAATAAAGTCATAATAAAACATAAAAAATATTTGAAATAGATTTATTTAATTCTTAAACTTGAAGTCGATCATAACTGGTAACCATAGTTGGAAATCTTCTATTAGTTGGGGTAAGCCTCCACAATCATGCCGTGGCCCTGAAAGGAGAAGAGTTATAACTTCATTGCTCCATTAAGTTATATCATTATTGAAGTGAGGGGAAACTAATGTTGATACTTACAATACCACCAGCAGCACAGGCTGCCACCAAACCATACTGTCCTCCTTCTTTATGCAACCGGTTGGCTGCAGTTGTCACAAGACGAACTCCCGTTGCTCCAAATGGATGACCCAGTGACAACGAACCACCCCATAAGTTAAATTTTGAAATATCAGGAGCTCCAACCTGTTCAAAAACAAATTAAAATTGGTTTGAATTGTGTATGGATTCATGAGTCATTAAGATAAATAAGTTAATCTTTAAATTTACCTTGCTACTACGGTTCATGTAAGTTTCAGCAAACCAGTTAGATTCCATAGCTTTCAGGTTGGCAAGAATTTGTCCCTGAATGAAGAAAAGAAGTTTATTTTTGTTTTTATTTTTAAAGTTATATGAATGGAGGTAAAAAAAGATAGTACTTACAGCAAATGCTTCATGGTATTCAAAAACACTAATGTCAGATATTTTCAGCCCAGTTTTCTCCAAAACTTTAGGTGTAGCATAGGTTGGGCTAAATAATATAAAGAAAAATTATATATTTCAAAAAAAAAAAAAAAAAAACACAGCTACTGGGCTGCCCCTCCAGTTTGTCTTATTTTAATTTTAAAAATGAGACTCATCTTTTATAAACAAAATAATAATAAAAGAATCACTGCCAAACAATGATCCATTCCATCTGGGCTGGGTGGTGTGGGGGAGGGGGGAGGGAGTGAAGAGAATAGTTAATGCAGATAAAAGTTCATTATCACAAAGCTGAGTGTTTCAGTATTGGCAAAACAACTACCTCAGCAATTTTTTTTCTTTTTCTTTTTTTTTAGGGTCTACAAATTCTGCTATGCAATAATTGTTTAAATTTTTGTAAAATCCCCACACCAAAACAGAATGATGAATAAACTATTTTTTTTCTTCTTAAATTGTTTGTCATACTTAGTTAATAATGAATGCTTTGGATGTATGCAATAAAGTAAAAAAAAAAAACTATCCACTCACCCCAAGAGCAACTGGTCCTTTGGATCCTGGGACACATAGACATAATCACGTAAATAAGCCTTGGGTTTAAAACCCATTTCAAGGGCTTTTGCTTCAGACATCACCAGACATGCAGAAGCACCATCTGTCTACAAATATTTAAAAAAAAATAATGGTAATATTTTATAATTGCTTGAATGTTATTTTTAGATATACTCCCCTACCCTGCCTAAAAACTAGAGAAAGAAAAACAAATCACTTAAACTGTTCATGCCCTGCTTGATTTGTGGGTATCCAGTAGTCCCCTACACAAAAAAACAAACTATCAGCCAGCATCTTTCCTCAAATGAAGTTTAACTAGATTCTTAAAAAAAAATAGATGAAAATTTAAAAAAAAAAAACAAAACAAAACTGGCTCACCAAATAAATGAACCAATACTTTAATCCACTAGGCTATTGTTCTGTTCACCTAACCTGACTGCTGTGAAAATATGGAAGAAAACTGGGGTCAGAATTAGCACATATGATAAGGCTATGAGGACCTCCTTAGACCTAGCATAGAAATAAATATATTGGAGTCACTAATAAATAAGACAATTCAACATCAGCAACTGTAACAAAAAGAGAAAAGCTTCAGTAAGCACAGACAAGTAAACAGGTTAGGTTTAAGGTTCCATGTTCTCCACAGAGAATTGTCCTACAGAAGTGTTGGTTAATGAATTGTGATTGTGGGTTCAATCCCTTGACTGGGCAATGTGTACTTACACTTGGTGGAAACAGGGCAAGCAATAACTAAAAATAAAAACGAGACAAGATATCCCTATACACACACACCCTCCTGTAGGTTTTGAACCTGCTCCCTTCTCTTTGCAGGAGAAACCTTCATTAGATATTATGTGCTCAGCTATGTAGTCTGTTGCCAATAAAGCGAAGTTGAATAGTGCCAAATCTTACTCTCTCAAAAGTTTTGTATCATAATGTAAATAAAGCAACTTCTAAAGTAATGGATTTTTAATATCTCGAATATTCAGGCCAGTAGACAAAAATTTATAAATAGTGTCTACTAAAAATAATGTTTAAGTGTGTCAGATTAATAAATAAATAATTCCATTACTATAGAAATATCAGCACATACAACATATAAAGTTTTCAATGTGCCACTTACCAAGAATGAAGAATTGGCAGCAGTAATGGTACCATGAGGCTTGATAAAAGCTGGCTTCAGCTTGGACATTTGTTCAACAGAAGAAGGCCTCACTCCATTATCTTTCAATACAGTCTCAGGTTTGCCTGTATTTAAAAAAAAAAAAAAAATGAAGATGACTTATAAGACATTGGTTTAAAAGATGTTAACATTAGCATTCAAAATTTACACATTAAGACTTAACTTACCTTTTGTTCTTTTAAGATGGGTTTATAAAAAAAAATCTACAAGGGAATGATGCAAGTTTTAAGATAAAATAGTTACCATTTCAGTTTTTTTTTTTTTTTATACAAAAACAAAGTTAAGTATTTAGTTTAAATGCAGTATTCAGATTTATTAAATATGTGCGTATGTATAATTTGTGTTATTCTTTTCTAAGTTGTATTTGAAATTGTGATTGCCATACCTGGTACTTTGTAAGGCACAATGTCAGTAAGAAGACCATTTTCAGAAGCTTCGAATGCCAGTTTATGTGACCGAGCTGCATACTCATCCTGCAAATAAAGAAAATTTATTAATCATAAAATACAATACATAATATAAAACAGAACACTGAATAAGCTTTTTAATTTACACCAAATTCCTTTGGACAACCTGTGGCCCCTCATTATTTGTTTAGAATTGAATTTGGCTCCTGTTACAAATTATACTTGATAAAATTTACTTTTTTTTTTTTGTTGTTGTTGAATTGGAAAATATTTTATACATTTTATTATGCTTAAATCTTTGGACAGATGATGTGTGTGTATAAACAGAATGTAAGCTTTGTATTATGCAAGATATCAAGTTGTTGCTTTCTTATTTGAATTTTTCAAACAAGAAATTCAGTTTGAGAACCATTAACTAACCTGTTCTCTTCTACTGATAGAAAAAGCAGATGCCAATCTGTCAGCTGAGTGACCCATAGTTTCCCCTGTTGAAAATTCAGCAACAGCTGGTAGCTACAAACAATACAGTAATTAGAAATTAAGCTAATTTCAATGACAAAAAAGGATTTTTTAAATTCATGTTACCATAAAGAGACAATTTCTTTTTATCAATATAGACATGTAAAGAAATAAATATTACAAATGGTCAGTAAGAAGTAAAGATAATTTGGAATCTAGACACTAGTTACAATGAGATTAGTGATCTCATTTATTTTCAAAACAACTGATTGAATGCTAACTTTAGGTGAAACAAAAATTGTCTGTAAAGACTTGTATCTCCTGTCAGAATTTGCTATTACTTGCACATAAAGAAATAGTAATGGAATATTCTATTTGTGAAAGCCTGTGTATTTAGACATGCAACAACTACGAGTAATGGCTACACTGAAAAACCCTATAATAATATTTGGCCCACTCACTGACACAAAAACTTTTAACCAAAATTATGAATATGCTAGAAAGAATTAAAAAAAATTTAATAAAATAAACAAAAAAATATTTTGGTCTTTCCTATATTAAGAGGAAAGGCCAAAGTTAATTTTTTTTTTTTTTTAAAAATCAAGTTTGAGGCCATTTTTTATCATGGTATTTTTTTTTTTTTTTTTTTAAAGAAAATCTTTGGAAGTATCAATTTTAATTCCAAGAAATAACCAAGTAAAATGTTTATTAATATACTCTATTTTTAAAAACGTGCTTAAATCAGCAATGAAGGCAACATTGAAAAAGAAAAAAAAAAAAACAGTTAGTTTGTGTAGGGTCTTAAAATTGGAAAAGGAAGGTTTTGGTCTTCATTCTCCTCATCTTATCTAAGCATCAACCTCAAGTACAATTTGGAAGGAAGAGAAGTAATTTATCCCTGGAGTCTGTTTTCAATGCTTCCTGAATTTCATCATTATATTGAGACCCTTACACCTAGCTTCTTTCGTTGCTCTGAGAAGAAATTAGAGTCCAGACCAGGCTCTTTGAAATCATTCACAGATGCTTTCATGTGTAGTGAAACATTATCCATTTGTTGATATGCCAATCTGTAATGCTCCGAAGATCTTTTGCAGCTAAATTTATTGGTAGTTTTAATTTAGCTTGATTGTTCTTGTTAAGCAAAAAGACTGGCAGCTCTTCAAGATTTGGTTGCTGTAGTGTTAAAATGTAATAAAAATTCAATAATGTTGAATTTAGTTAATTGCTTTAAATGACTTTATTATAGTATTTTTGAGGGAAATTGTAGGGAGGGAAATGAATTTAATTTCATCTCCTTTTTAAGCAGTAGGGTCCTAATGAAATTGATAATTGTTTCTGAGTAAATACCTAACTACTATAAAGTAGAGCTGGAGCTTTTCAATCTCAGAACTGGTGTTGGAGAATTGGGTTCCAATTTTGCATTTATTCATATTGATTCCCTAATATAGGTTTTACTTAATTAGCTATTATGTTTCTGTAACTCTTCAAATGTTGAATGTATAACTCATTCTAATTTCCCATTCTTACACTATATTAATTTTATGTTATCAATTGTCCCCATGAAATAAAAATAATTGTATAAAAAATAATGATCTATGTACATCAAATCGTCCTTAAATTAAGTGGTAGCAGAAGAATTATTGTTGAACTTTTCAAAGGTAAGTTTAAACATTAATTCAATACTTAAATGCAGTGATCAATTTTGAGTTCTGTAGTTTACTGCTACTCCTCCCTAGATATTATGATGATGGCCAAACCAAGAGTACCCCACAGGAACTAGCTTAAATGCTGCCCGATTTTGGATACAAAAGAAATATAAGAGTTACTCCCCTTGAATCATGAAAGCAATGATAATGGCTAGTATAATATATTGTTAACTTCGCATAATCTAGCAACCCTCAACAAAAATCATTCCCTGCACCTAGGGCTCCTGAATGAGTTATGAATCATTGAAATCGGACCAGTGGGTGTGGAGGAGTTGCTTGGACACATATGCACACACTACTTTATATATAAGATTATTAAATAAATAGTAAAATCATTGGAAGATATTTTTGCTTACCTCTGGGGCCAGAGCTGAAGGACTTAACATTTGACTGATAAGCGAAAGCTTCTGAGGCAGTTTTTTGGCCTTGTTTAGTGATAACATCAATTTCCTCATTTTTCTGCTCACTCTGATTGGAACATCTGACATGAACTCCACACCACCAGCTATGACAGCATGACAGCTTCCAGAAACAATCATTCCAATTGCTAGGCAGTAAAAAAAAAAAAAAGTTTATATGGATGAGATAAAGCATCTAGATAATTATGCTATAAAATTAAAGTACAAAAGAATAATCTGTTCAAAACCTACTATTAAATATGTTCCATATATAAAAAAAAATTCACAAGGACACATACAATAATTTATATTTACCTAATGTATTTTAGAACCAGATATCTTTTATACAATTGTTTTTGCAAGATGTATCAGTTTAAGTTTTTGATAATGTTTAAAAAAAATTATATTTTTGTAAATTCATTCTGAATGATTAATAAGGAAATAAATACTTCCAGAAATTTTACATATTGAAGCACCTCCAAAGAAATGCAATACCTACGTTTTTTTTTCTTTTTTCTTTTTTAATGAAAAATCTTGAAGCTTTTATAATACCTTGCTGTATTTCAAAACTAATTTAAATTGACTTTTGACTTTCAGTCAATTTAAATTAGTTTGGATGTTTTTTTTTTTTTGTTTTTTGAAATCACTAAGAATTGTTTAGCCATTTTTAACCATCTGTCAGCACAATGTAATTCTTTTATTAAAAAAATCTTTCAAAAATAAAATGACTTTAGTGAAACTTTATTTGGGGAATATTAGTGGATTTAAAGTTTAATTAATCATAAAATAAATATCTAAGTTTAAAATGTCACAGAAATGCATTTTTTAACACAGGTAAATGTTCTGATTAGGTGTTGGTATCTCTACTGACAACATTAACATTTTTCTACAGGGGCCATATCTAAAAATTACTTGCACATTCTATAATTTTTAACTACTAATCCTAAAAATTTGTTTTATTGAATTTTAGGTACTTTGCCTTTTAATTTACTATAAATTAGGTTCCTCCATTAGGTCACGTAAAAAAGCAGCATATCACGATTAAAAAACGCTCGATTGTGATAAGGTGATGACAGATTACTATGGATGATCAAAATCGATAATTTTTGCAAAAGTAAGCTTAACGCGGTTTTTTTTTTTAACTAGTACTTTTTAAATATTAACATTTTTATTCAGCAATTATGTAACATCTTTTTTATTTCATACTTTCTTAATTAGGTAATTATTTAAAATTTTTTAAGAATTATGTCAGGTATACATTTCCATACATAGAAATTATGAACGTTTTTTTTTTTCCAATAAAAGTTTTAAAAAATTATTTTAAAAATATTTGGGGTCAAACGACTTATGTGCTTTTCAAATTTCGATTCGTAAATTTACTTGTTCATTAACCTTATCATTGCATTATGTGCTTGAAAGCAATAAAGAATTTTTAATGATTTTTGAAGTATTAAGAAGTTAATGAAAAAAAAATTTGTAAAAAATACATTATTCATCGAAAAAATTTTATTTCTTCACAAAATAATGTCCTTAGTATAACGTATTTATAAAAACAGGTGAAAACTTTTCTAATTAATTAATGTCAGTTTTTTACATTTTTTTTTAATAATTCAGAGCAGATTTTCTATGATATGGGGGTACTGTTTTACAAAAAAAAAAAAACAAACTGCTGATTTATTTTCTACAAAGAGTCCCGTTTATAATTAGTAAAACAAATCTCGCGCTTGAAGATTTAATTTCTCGAAATTTCATGAAAATATGTAAGTGGGTGGAAACCTGTTAAAAAAAAAAAAATCTCTTTTTAACAAGATTTTCTAAAAAAGTTTCAAAAATAATTTCATTCATTTGTGAACAAGTCCTGGAAGTTTCATTAAAATCCGACAATTATTTGATTTTTGCAAGAATTTTTAAACTTAGGTATCAAATTTATGCCAAAAGTGGAGAAACCTACTATAAATTTACTCTTATTGTTGCTGAATTGTAGTAAGCGTTTCCATAACAAATTTTAATTGGAAAAAATTCTTTGAAGACAATAGTGTCCATTATATATCTTATTCATAAAAGCAATTAAAAGATTTTTTAATTAAATAATGTCTTAGTTTTAATGCATTTTTCATTTTACAATTCAGAGCAAATTTTCAGTAACTGAGGATCCAATTTTTTTTTTTTTTTGTAAAACTACAAACTACTTTAAGTGGTTAAAAAAAAAATGAAATTCATAAAATTAAATAAGTGTATTATTTTTGCTGATACCTTTAACAAATTTAACAGTAGCAGAAGAGAAAACATTTTTTTTTAATTAGCCATAAGATAATATGGATAGCATTCAAATTAACAACTGAAAATAGGCAGCACTGCTTCCTGCCAGTTACTGTTTATAGTCGGGTTGCCAAGTGGGTGAGCCTCTTATTTTGTTTTTACTTCATTAAGTTCAGAATTATCTCTAGAATCCAAATTTGATGGGTGCCAGATTCTATTATATTGTTTATTACATTGCTGATTATATTGAAGTTATTAGATTGATAAGTTATTCATCTTTTCTATCTCTTTTATCCTTTGTCAAAAAAAAAAAAAAAAAAATATGGAATGATGACTACGTACACTTTGGTTTCACTTGCATGGGAAATGATGAATTGCAAAAACCCCAGTGCATACTTTGTGATGCTATATTTTCCAACACAAATATGAAGCCATCAAAGCTGCAAGAGCACTTCAACAACAAGCATGGTGTAGGTGGTGTTGAAGGCCATGATTTTGAATCACTGAAAACTAAGAGCCCATTTTCAATCTTGTGCAACCCTTCCAAGATTAGGTTTTGTTTCTGTTGACAAGCCACTGCTCCTGGCTTTGTACCAAGTGGTATATAAAGTAGCTAAATTCAAGAAGCTCTATACAATTGCAGAAGAGCTGATCAAACCGTGTGCATTAGAAATGGCAACAATGGGCCAAGAAGCAAGAAAAAAGCTTGAATTAGTGCCGCTATCAAATAATGTCATTCTCAATTGAATTGGTGATTTGAGTGATGATATTTTGGATCAAGTTATCTCAGATGTCAGGTTTAGTTCTTTGAAAATCTCTCTCCAGTTGGCTAAATCAACTGATGTATCAAACTGCAGTCAACTCATTGCATTGGTTAGGTATGTCAGTGATGGTATTGTGACAGAAAATTTCCTGTTTTGTGAAGTGCTGAAAACAACCACATAGGGAAAAGATGTGTATCAGTTTGTGGAAGACTTCTTTGCCAAACATGATTTAGACATCCAAGTTATTGGTTCTGTGTGCACTAATGGTGCTCCTGAGATGCTAGGGAATAAATCTGGATTTTCTGCACTGATGAAGAGGGAGATTCTTGCAAGTCACACATTGTTTCCTTCATCGTCATGCATTGGCAGCAAAACCATTGCCTCCAAGGTTGAAAAAAAGTACTTGACACTTGTGTAAAGATCATCAACTGTATTAGGGGTTGTGCTCTGAACCATTGCATCTTTAAGTTGTTTTGTGAAGATCTGGGAAATGAACATAAAACAATTTTGCTTTTCCACACGCAAGTCTGCTGGCTCTCACGAGGACAAGCTTTAACCCACTTCTTTGAACCAAAGTTTTTCTGGAGGAATGTGACTATAATCTGGTTGGTGAATTGGAATCACAAAATTTCATGCAAATGCTAGCTTATTTGGCTGACATTTTCACTTGTATGAATGAAGTGCGTGTCTCACTTCATAGAAAAGATATGAACATATTGAAATATTGCGAAAAGTTGAAGGTTTCCAAAGAAAAGTTACCTCTTTGGCATTGACAGGTGGAAAGAGGTTATCTTTCAAATTTTCCATCACTTGAAGAAATTGTTGATGATAATGGATCTCTAATTCCTACTGTGCATGAAGACATTGTGGCTCATTTGGAAATGCTGTCAAATCATTTGATGGATATTTTGCAGCTGGAAAATTGAAGATTTCAGGAGAGTGGATCATGAATCCATACTCCTACAATTTGGATATGTCAGATGATGAGGTGAAGGAAGATCTTATTGATTTGTGGACAAATCATGCTCTTGAAATGCAACTTGAAAGCAAGACGGAGAAGTATTGGTGTTCAGCAATGAATATGTTTCCAAAACTTAGTGAAAAAGCACTTGGTGTCCTTATCCCATTTGCGACCATATTATGTGAGTCCGGTTTTAGTTCTCATTTGTCAATCAAGACAAAATCCAGAAATCACATGAATCCAAGAGCAGACATGTGGATTGCTATCAGCAACAAAGTACCATGTTTTGACAAAACAGGAACAAAAAAGCATTTAGATTTAAATTTTACATTTTTGATGCAAATTTCTTAATGTTAGATTTTAGTTCTTTTGAAATAGTTTAATTTACACTTACATTGAATGAAAAGCTTAAATTTTTTTGTACTATATGTTCGTATTTAAGTTTAAGTTTTTTTCTTCTTCTTGTCATTCAAAAATTAGCTTAAATAAATGTTATTCAAATTGAGTATAAATTGCCTTCTTCATCTTTATATGAGATTATTTTGTATGTGTGTGTAATATATATATATATATATATATATATATAGGGGGTGTGAGGCATAGAAAAAGTTGGAAACCCTTGTTCTAAAATAATTTCATTCATTTGTGAATAAGTCCTGAAAGTTTTAATTAAACTTTAAGGACTTATTGAAAAAATTTCTTAATGTTTTTCACTGAAAAGAAAAAAAATGATAAAATTTCCTATACTAATTTATGGTCCCCCTGCTGATGCATTTGAATGTTCTGAAAAAGATAAAAAAAATTTAATCAAAAAATCATTTGGTCTTTCTTAATAAAAAAGATTTTGGTGATAAAACTTTGTTTTTTATTAAGTTTGGGGCATTTTTTCATCATTTATGCCGATTTTTTTTAGTGAATCTTTGAAACTAGCTATGCTAAAGTTTAACAGTTGCTTCATTTTGTGCTGTGGTAATGTTAGAATTTATATTTAAAAATATTTATGTTAATGTTCTCATTCTAAAATAAAATTTTGCATCATGCATATTGAATAGCTTTTAACAATGTATTTTTTATTAATTACAAAGTACTTTAAAAATGTATGAATAATAACCTAATTTTTTCACATTTTAAAATAATTTTATATTACAAAACCTTGCAGAGTTTCTAGATGAAAAAATAGCATATTTAATTTTAACTTTTCTAGACTATATTAGAACAGTTACAATGAAAATACAGCTGCTTTGTGGAGTTATTTTAAATTGCTATGTACTAGAAAAATTTGATTCACTTCTGGTGTTTCATACTTTAATCAAAGGTATTGCAGGTAAGCAGAGAAATATCTACATTTCTCTCTTATGCATTTTTTCAATCATTTTCAAAAGATGCACAATAACATTTTCATGGTAAAATTTTGATGGAGAACATTTTGCTTACAAACTGAATTTTTATTTAAAGTGGTTTCCTAGATTGTCAAATTTAGGAGTAAAATATTAAAATGCAAATTGATTTCAAAATGTTTTAATTATTTAATTTTTGTAATTCAGTTTATTCACTTTTACTGGATTGGTTCCTCATGACTTAGTAAAAAAAAAAAAAAAAATAAAGTCAGTACATATTTAGATTCAGTGATATCCATTTTCTAAGAGTAGATTTTATAAAAGAAAACGGATCCCTTACATTTTGCCAACAAATTAACATGAATATATACAAGTATCACCTGTGGTAATGGCTTGATTGGATGAAATGCAGGCTTGAGTGACTGTATGTGCAGGAATCTTTTCCGAAAACCCTGCTCCTAGGGCAGCCTGAAAGAGTAAACTATTATGTTTGCTAAAGCTTCACTGTATAAATTTTTGTTTTTTTTAAATTAACAAGTGAACAGTATGACTAGTTTCAGAACAAAAGAAGAATATTTGATAAGGGGTTGGTTGTCATTTATTTTAAGTTATTTTCTTTTTAACTATTTTCTCTTCAGATGATTTAAAAAAAGTAAAAAACAGGACTAAAAATAGTGATATCTGATAATTAAAAACATCACATGGGGTTGTGATGATATTGGAATTAAACATTTTCTTGTATTGGAAAAAAAAGAAATGGACATTTACTGGATTTGCTATAAGGACAAAGAAGTTTCCAATGATAAAAAAGCCTATTTTTAACTATTCATAGAAAACACTATATCAAGAATAAAAATGCAAGATACAATTCTCATAGTTTCTTCATTTAAATTTAAGAGTTCAAAGTATAAAGAGTATTTTTTAAATAATTTTAGTTTTTTTACTCTGCAAACAACAAAAAGTATAGGAAAAAATAAGTTTACTTACTTCTCTTGCAATATTACTAGTTTTTACTTCCTGTATGACAGTACCCAGGACTATATAATCAACAGAATCTAGATAAAATTTAAATTAAAAAAATATAAAATAATTGCAACTTTTTTGTTGCATATTTGAATTCAAATGTGATTATCTATCTATGAAAATGGTACACAATATTAACATCGGTCAGGATATTTTGCTTAGTATTTTTTATATTGAATAATAAAAGAAATTCAAATTAACTTTACGGATAGTGATTTTGACTGTAATAGTAAAAATATGTAGTGACTAAATGCATTAGTAATGATTACAAGAAAACTTTATACATAGATTAATTTTAATTCTTGTCCTCATCTTGACATTTTATATTCGTACTTCTAAGATTGTGATGCTGTTTCTGCCCAATTAGACAGAAAAATAGGAACATCTTGAAAATGTACAGTGACATCCAAGAAGTAAAATAATACTTTTAAATAAATCAATATTTAATGATAATTCCTCTTCTCAAACTTTCAGATATAAACTTGAGAAATTTCTATTATTTGGTCCATACAAAGTGCTAAATTTTATTAATAAAATCTTTAAATGAAATTTAATTACCTCTTTCAAGTCCAGTTCTTTTAATGAGGCCTCTGTAAAAATATATTAAAAGTATATTCAAATTGGAGAAAATAGAGGATAATATATAAAAATTAATGGAGATAGTGGATAAGAAAGAACAATATTGAGATGATAGTCTAATGATTCTTAGAGGCTACAATGGCAAAAATGCAGAATCAGAGAAGAAATTATAAAGGTTAATAAAAGAACTGTTTTGACATAAAAACAAGCTTAATTTAAATATGATACAGAAAAGAAAGAAATGCCCAAATTCTTTTAAGATTTTAGGTCATCATAATAAAAGGATCATTATCTATTACAATGTTATTTTATATATTTATTGATCACACATCATCACAGCTCTCTTGAGATACTTCATTGTTATGGTAACACGGATACCACTCTTTAAGCATTATTGTGTTAGCATATTTTTTTTATTTTTAGATTTGAATATTTTTACTCTTAATGATTTAAGTAGAAGACATTAAAATAAATGGTGAAAATTCTGCACAACTGGAGATTTTATTTAAAGATATTTGTTAGTTATTTATACAGTAATATAAGTAAATGTCATTTTATTGCTTAAAATAAGGTAAATAACTAGTTTTTTTTTTTTTTTCATTCGAGTAATCTGAAAGGATTTTAATTGATGAATGCTCCTGCATTCTCAGCTTACCAATATAACTGATGCCACCATTTTGAACCCATAGACAAGCTGTCTGCTGTAACTATTAAAAAAAATTCTATAATTATTCAGTGGTGAATAATTGTTATTTGTTTAATATTCAGGAAGTATTGAGCATTATCACAAAAGGCGGAGCAATATTATTTCAATATTTTTTTTATGATACAGGTAAATTATTTACTAAGTAGAGTATCCATGCCCATAAAAAAATTGAAAAAGAACATAATTTGTGTGTACAATACTTCCCAGAGCACACAGATGAAACTGATCCATATATAAATAACCCTGGCAGTTTTGTTGGGCATTATGCTAATACAATAGTTAAAATATACAGTGCCCATAAATTATTAATTGTATTTCTGGATGCTATATAAATCATGTAACATCAACTACTGTTTAGCAAATATTTAGTTTAACAAGCTTATTTCTGATTTTGAGATGAGACAAGGATTTTTTTCTCATTTTACTCCAAGCAAAGTAATGTTATTAAGATGTAAGGGATTACTCAGAGTGAAAGAGAATGAGAAGACTTTAGTGAGGAGAAAAGACAATAAAAAAAAAAAGTTTTTGGTTAGACAGGAGGTTGAGATTAATGCTGCATTTAAAGTTTAGAATATTGTAGGTGGCAGGGAAACAAGAAACTGGGAGTGAGTTCTACAGGTGAGAAAATAAACTATTAAAATAGAACTTACTGTTACATCTAGCTATTTGAACAATAAAACAAGACCTAGTTGTCAATCTAGTAGTTTGAATTCATGTGGATGAGATCTCATTAAAACAACTGCTTTGAAAATATTTATAGAAAAGACACAGAGAAGCCACATCTCAGTGGTGGAAAAGTGATTGAGTTCAAGATATCAGGTCAGGACCAATAATATTGCAAACTTTTTAGATTTTGTTAAGAATCTTGATCTATAACAAGAGCATAAGACCAGATATGACAGCAATATTGCAATGCATAGATGAAAAATAGATTTATAAATGTTTAAGATGGATTCTGATGAGAAAAATTGCCTGGCATGAAGTGGAAAACAGGAGAGCAAGAAATCAATGAGTTGCTAATTGAAGGCAAAAATGGTTCTCTATGATGATTAAAAGATAGCAGTTTCATTTTAGAGGCATTAAAATTTATATTTCTTGCCCCAATTAACAAGAGATTGGGTGTCATTTTAGAAAGCAAATGCCAGTTTTTCTTTCAGACCTATTGGTCTTAATAGTAAGGCAGAAGTAAATAGTTGTATCATCAGCATAAATACTTAGTTGGGAATTGATGAAGATAAACAATATAGATCCAAGGATAGAGCACTGGGGGATCCCCGCATTAATGCAAAACAATCTAGAAAAGTGGCCATTCAAAATAATTTTCATTTTGCGATTTGATAAGAAAGATGAATAAGGCCAAAAATCTATCCAGAAATACCATAACCTTTCAACTCTTGTGTTAGTAACAAAAAGATCAATAGGGGGTTGTTATCTAATATATGAGCAAAAAGAAATATCTAGACACTACTGTGTGGTCGATTGCAAAGAGGACAGAGATGCAAAGCACAACATGAGTCCAGGAAGGAGGTTAGGAATAGATCAAATAAAGAAGTGTGTCTGTCGAGAAATCTATTTGAGCGAGTGAGATATCAAGCAATTGATAAATTCAAAGTCTGGAAGCCGGCAACATCAGTGTCATTAGAGTGATTAAAGAACAGGAATTAAATCAAAAGATAATGATTGACATTGTATTTTGAAGATCAAAGTTGACTGGAAAGCAAGAGTCCAGAAGAGAATTCCATAAATGAAAAGTGTGAGAGAACTAACTAAATATATATATATATATAGCCATTTCAACTGAAAATGATGAGATAGTTGGCAATATAGTATTTTACTTAAATTTGTAAAGTTAAGGTACCAAAAAGGAAAACTCATCAGAACAATTACCACAAAAATATTTAAAGGCAAGAGGAAGCTACATTATGGCAATGGAAAAAGTGATTGATGATGAGATGCTAGGTCAAGACCAATAATATTGCAGATTCTTTAGATTCTATCAAGAATTTCTAAATACATAGCAGAAGCACAAGACCAGATGTGACAGCAGTATTTAATGCATGAACAAATGGCAGACTTATAAAAGATAGATTCTGGTCTGGTGAGAATAATAGTCTAGCATGACACAGTGAACCAACTTTCCTAGCAATTGATTCAATATAATTTTTCCACTTCATGTCCGTGGAAAATGTTAGCTTGATGGAAGGCAAAAAAGGTTCTCGAAGATGATTAAAAGACAGTAGTTTCGTTTTGGAGGCATTAAAATTAAGAAGCCATTTCTTGCCCTGGGCAACAACACATTGTAGGTCATTTTTTTAAAAAATCTGCTGCAAGTTTGATCATATTGAATGGGTCAGACTTACAATTAAGACATGAGTAAATTTTTCTGTCATCAGTATAGATACTGAGTTAAGAACTGATGGCATTGGGAAGATCATTGATGAAAATAAGAAACAATGTATATACAAGAGCTATATAGAGACCTGGAGGACACTTGCATTAATGCAAAATGATCTAGAACAGTGGCCGTTCAAGATAACTTTCATTTTGTGATTTGATAAAGATTAAATCGGATCAAAAATCTGTTCAGAAATATCATAACCTTTCAACTTGAAGAGAACCAGCATGCCAAACCATGTCAAACACTTTTGAGATACCCAAAGATATTCACCATTCTTATCTAAAACTTGACACTCTTTCAGCCATAACTGTTAACACAACAGCAGCTGACCTAGAAAAGTGAAAGCCATATTCCTTGTTTGAAAGAATACTACAACAATGTGAGATGCATAAACAATTCAGAGTTGATTATAACCAATAGTACTTTACCAAAAAGAGGTAAAAAGCTAATAGGCCAAGAGAAGGATCAGACAGTTTATCTGTAATGACAGAAGAGGATTTCCAACAAGCAGGAAGCAGCAAGGCATTTATTCTAGAGTTTAGAGAGAATATGAGCCTGTTCAGGAGCACATTTCTTAAGGACTATTGCAAGGATACCATCAAGTCCACCTACATTGTGGGAATCCAGTTGAGAGATGATAGCAGAGACCATGGATAGAGTTATAAGCATATCACACAGTAGAGACTCATTTGTAAGTGGAAAATCTTGCAAAGATACTCCAGATGAGTCAAGAGTAGAATTTAAAAAGAATTTACAAGCAAAACATTTTGCCTCATCAGCAAATGATAACACCTCAAATTGAGTCAAGAGAAGAGGGATATGATGGAGCTGCCAGTAGTCATGAGAACCAAACTGATTAGACTTAACCTTTTTGATGACATATTTACAATTATTACAAGCAGAAAGAAAGAGGTGTCTGTTGTGATTGAACTGTTATTTAGTTTTCTTTTTTATTTATTTATATATATTCCTAAATATTGTAATCAGTATGGGAAATCAGAAATCATTCACACAGTATTGCTTAATAAGTAGTCCAGTATGATAATGTCATTAGAGAGAGAAAAAAATGATTACTCACAGTAAAGCATTTCTGGCTAAGTCATGAGGCATGAGGCTTGCATAAGTTGTACCTGACATAAGGAATGGAATGCGAATACCTTCCACCAGCACAACATTAGGAATACCAGGTTTTGAAAATGTCTTATCTATAAGCAAGAAAATTATAATTTGTTGTTTGATTGGATATGGAATACATGCATAAAATATAAAAAAACATTTAAGAATTCTGCCTTCAAGATTTTGACATTGAGCTTAGTTTTTCTATTTCATAATCCTCAGATAACCACAACAATTGAGTATTAGTTACTCTGTAAAATGAACTCATCTTAATAATATTCATTTCTTATCTTGCTTAATATTCAGAGAATTGATTCTCTAACATTTGTTCTATTGTACATGTTGGGGCTTTGAGGATTACCTCAACATCTATAGGGCAATAACACCAATCCTGCCACTTGACAATTCTTTAATTCTGTCTAGAGTTTTACTTGTTTTTCTCATACACAATAGATAAACATTGTGTTTGGGTGTGTGTGAGAGAGAAGAATAGTTAATCCCCCTTTCTATCATAAAATTTACTTGGCTTTGATAAATGTATTACTTGGTTTAATTGCTTCAATTGCATAAGATTCAATTTGGCTTTTTGGTACTTTAGGATATCATAACTATAATATCAGAAATGATACATTATTAACAATATGGGGAAAGAGACAAATCAAAAATAGAGAAATTTCAAAATGAAAATGCTAAACTTCTTACTTGGAGCAGCATTATGTAGGGCAGTGGAGGCACTTAAATGACGCAGACCTGAGAAAGAAAAAAAACAAATAAACAACTTAAAATGTAAAATTTTGACAATATCTAACAAGAAATATTTGCATTAATTAAATACTCTAACTTTACTTCCTAATTAGAACATTTATAATATGGTAAAAGTATAATTAAAAGGAAATTACAGCAATTTTAAGTCCTTACTAATATGAGGTTTTCACATGTTAGTCTTTAAATAGATTTTTGGAATTACTATTTTTGTACATTTTAATATCTGTAATAGAGCTTTAAATTTAATATGATAACCTCTTGTAATATTTAATAAAAATTGACTTCAAAGAAAAAATATTAAATTTAAAAATTCATCATTAAAATTTCAAATAGAAAATATTGCTTTTCTTTCTGTCAATTTTCAATTCTATCATGAAATACCAATTAGTCATTCCTTTTTTATACTAAAGTTCACTCTGTCCAAGGCCAAGAGCAACTCAAAGTAGAGGGTTACTGAAGAAGGCCCAGTTTATGAGGATATGTGAGAAAGATAACAGTTAACCCCGGACTTGAATAGGTTAAGATTGTAGTGGTCAAGAAAATATCCTCTTGGGAGTCAGTCCCACAAAGTAGTGGTTTGTGGGAAGAAGCTGTTTGAATTGAACTTCTCACTAATGGAATACAAAGGAATTGAGGAAGTTCACCTCAGTGCATACTCAGCATGGTGGGTCTTAGCTGTGAGGGCTAGAGTTGGTGGAACTAAGGAATGTATAAACATTCTCTATAGAAATGGCTATATAGTATCGAGAGGCTTTTAATGTTTTGTCTGTGGGAAAGGGGTTGTAGGGTGTAAAATAATTCATCACCTGCAAGACCAGGTAGATACTTTTGGATTATCAAGACTGGAAAGTGAAGATTGGGCAGCTCAAGCACAGATATGGCAGTGATACTCCATTTTCAGCTTGATCTGGCTCTTGTAAAGGGTAGAGCATATCAGTAAGAGTTCAATACTTACTGCAGCAGTACGGGGAACCAACCATTTTCCCAACATCTTAAGCAAGGGATTGTATATACAAGTTCCACTTGAGGTCTGGAGGAAACTTCAGTTGCAATAGGTGTTTAAGGCAAGGGGCATCTTTGCCTTAGACGCTTCTTGGAACTGAAGTTTCATTGATGCCTTGACACTCGCTCATTATAATAGATGAAATTTCAGAGTCTGCTTGGTGATGAAGGAATGTTTTTTGAGGTATCAATTGCAACCAGCCAGTTTTCCCAACATTAAATTGCTTGAGCTAGGTCAGATGAGAGATCAGCTTCCAGGCTCTGGTCATCTAGAATCTTGGAGTTGCACCTATATGCCATTGTATAATGATTTTGATATTTGCAATTTTTAAAAAATAAAAATCTAAGGTTCCATACTGAAATGTAATTCTATCAAATTTTTTAAACCTCTATAAGAACAATGTATCTTCAACAGTTTGGAGATTCTAGTAATTAATTAAAAAAAAAATAAAAAACAAAAAAAATTACTGGTTTACTTCAAGCAAATGTTACAACTCTACAATAATATCTTTAAAAAAGAGTGTATGTAAAATAGATGATACTAACTGAAATACCCATTTATGTAAAGTACAAGGTCAAAACTTTGATTACAGCTGGTAATAAAGAGAGTAAAATAATATTTTAGTCTTGATAATGATCATTATGTGTAGTCAGATCTAGGTTATTTGAAACATTTGGGTATATAGTTCTGAAAAGACTAACATTTTTGTGAAAACTCATTTTTTTTCATGTGATCCATAGAACCTTAAAACTAAACTTACAGAGCCAAGTAAAATCTGCTGCAAAATAACAGTGTACATTAATTTCTGTTTGTGCTTAAAATATTCCTAATACAAAAATACATTGCCCATATTCCTAATACAAAAATAAATACATCACCCATTCTTTAAACATCTTAAAAGCCACTTAAAGATTGAATTAGATATTTCAACTAATTTGAATAAATTCTGACTCATTATCACTAACATGCTCATGATTGATTTATTATAGTGAAAAAGGATATTTGGGAACAGTAGAGAGTATGATAATAATCAAGATGAATCTTATCACAATGGCTAATTACAAGTGAAGACATCTTCAACACCTTTAAGTTCCTCAGCACAACAAGATGCTGAAATTGTTATGACTCAACATCAAGTTATTCAGGAGAAATTGAATGGAGGATGAAGATTTTATTTAAGGTTACTAGCTGAATACCTGCCATTTGGAGAGAGAAATATTGTAATAGAGGTTCTTAATGTTTTTACTACTACTAATAATAATTCAATAATAGTTCCACTTATTGAAAAATTTTGTAATAGGAGTTAGATAGGTTCACCTATCATCTGTTCATACTCTTCTCTGATTTCTAAACAGTGGTGGAGGTTTATCTCTTGTTTCCTGTTTAGGATTGGGTTTCTCACTGAAGTCTTCTCATTCTCTTTCACTTCCATTCCTGTCTTAGTTGTTTGTGATGAATTGAAAGAAAAAAAAATTCATACTAAGATAAGTTATGTTTTTGTAGAACATATAGTGAAACAACAATTTTGCTGATAAAAGAAAGCACAGTGGTATAACCTATTGGGATCTCTTACAAGAGAAATCTCAAGGTCAATAATAACCTAATCTAAACTATTGAGGTTTTACCTACCAACAGTACTTTGACCACCTGCATAAGCATTTTAAATACAATGATCAGCAGAAATGCTTGTAGCAATTTATAACAGTTCAAAAATATTTATCTAATGTATTTGATTCCAAAAGTCAATCACATATTCTGATGAAAACAATCTCCTCATATTCAAAAATAATATTTGCATTTATCACTTGACTATTCAAGATGGGATTGTCAAGTACAAACCAATTTCATATCAATAATTAAACTAGAGTGCATATTTTCCTTCATTTTCATATCGAAATAAATTATAATCAAGCTTGAGGAGTGTAGATACATCTATTTTTTTTTAAATAAAAGAGTTAACCATAAATTAAAAAAGACTCATTCAGAAGTTGAATAATTTTACATTGGATACAATATTACTTGTATAAGTGAGGTTATAATAACAACTCTCAAAAATAAGGTTAGCCACTCATTTAAATTACATATAAAAACCCTTCAGAAGATCAAAGAGTAATCAGATTGTATTTATTTTTTGCACTGAAAATGTTGTTAATTCAAAATTTACTCTGGAATAATACATTTTATATTAAAAACATTTTAAAATTGTCCTATACATGCTTTTGTTTTGCTTCTTTTTAGTACAAGAAATATGTAATCAATTAATACAAACACAAATCACTCCACAAATCCCAAATTTAAAAGGGGCATCAATTATTTGAATTTTGTTTAACATTTTTTATCTACCACAATGATTATTGTTCAATTTTTATTATTATTAAAACAATTTGAACACCCATACATAACAATTTGCATGCTTTACATGTTTAATCTTATAATTTTAATTTGTAAATGTTTTTTAACATTTTAACAATCTATTAGTACAATTATTCACCTTATAACTGAATAATATTGTTGTTAAACTTGTTAAAACTACTTATTTTTAAGTATTTCATAGAGAAATACAAATAAAACAAACATAAATAACAGCCATTTTTTATTGCAATTAAAAATAATAATTTATCACTTAAAAAAAATAAAAATAAAAAAAATATTAAAGTTTCAAAAAGGAAGAAAACTAAATTTAACATTTTTGTAGTTTTACCACAAATAAAAACCACAGCCACTTTAAAATTTATCAGGTTTTAATTTTTCAACTAATAATTATAATATCATAATTATTATTGTGATATTAGAAGAATAAAATTATAATGTGGTATATTTTTAAACATATGATGTATATGAAGTATTTTCTCATCTTTTCACATTACAATCATAAACAAGCTGCTTCTCCCACTTTCCTTTCAATAATATTGGAATATTTTTAAAACTATTGTCACTTTATAATTTCAATTAAATATAATTTTTTCTTTGGATTTTATTACATTTTAGTAAGACAGCTGATTTATTTAATTAGTCTAGGTACCACAAAAATAGATGCCTTTTTCCTGAAATGAAAGCAAGAAAAAATTGTTAAAAATTAGGGAGATATTACTTTTTGGGATCTGTTTCATCCTTCCTCCCTTCAATATCTTATGTCTATTTTTTATTGGAGGGGAGGGAGTTTGTTATATTTTTTATGGTTACATAAAGAAAAATCAGCAATGTTTAACCTTTGTGCCTGTAAAAAAAATTTTCCCTTGATATTGCCATTATTTTGACTACCTTCACTTCTTGACAATTATCATTGTTTTAAAAGATTAGAAATTTAATAAAACTTATATGAAAGTGAATTTATAAATTTTCTTTGTTCTTGAAAATTGACAAGGATATTAAACACTAATTTTTTTTATTTATAAGAATAATTTTATATTTACAACCAAATAACTAAAAACAATGGTAAATTTGCTTTTTAACACCCGCGCTAAATATCTCTTAAAATTTTCCCAAATCGTCATAATTCCGTGTAAATGTACATGCTGAACTTGAATTAACAATTAAATTATGAAGAAACCTACTGTTTTGGAATTATTGACAAGAAGAAAATCGGACTACTTGTTGATCATTCGTCTCCCATTACTGTCATCATGACTGTTTCACTGCGTAGTACTTCCGTTGGCGTAATCAGAAAATTTGGCCTATTTTTACTTCTTTTACACACAGACTTTCCTAGCAGAAAATCACTGCGTACTACCAAAACAGTAGGTTTCTTCATAATTTAATTGTTAATTCAAGTTCAGCATGTACATTTACACGGAATTATGACGACTTGGGAAAATTTTAAGAGATATTTAGCGCGGGTGCAATTTTACCAAAACAATTGCATTAAGACTTAGTAAGACCAATACAACGTAATGTTTATCATTTACTAATTTATAAAGAAATAAATAAGAAAACAATGTTTTTACTTGTAAATTTATAAACATTTACTAATGTATAAAAATATGCAAACCAACTATAATGAAATCCTTAAGTTATTTACCATTTTAAAAAGTTGATTGGCAGTTTTTAGCTGAGGTTTTTTTGCCAACCATTCCAAAGAACACAATTCACCAGTTGCTTTTTAGTTTAGTCAAGGTGTTTAGTGTCCATTTTTAATCAACACACGGCCAACAAATAATCTTGTAGCAGAATTTCTAGGCATTTTTAAAAAACTTAGCAACGATTTAAAATTTTTTTCAAAATTATGCTTTTCAAAAATAGTGTAGTTTGCAGAAGTCTCAGGCCTTGTATTTCTATTGATTAGGCATTCTTGACCCTATGATTATAAAAAAAGTTTTAAAATTAAAACAAAGTAATGTGATAAAATAATTTCAGAAGAAAATGTATGGAAAAATCAATTTTATTTAAATTTTCTTGTATACTTCATAGATAAAATTATGAATAAAAAACTGGTTTTCCCTTCAGTTATTTTTATAAAATGGTAAATGAATAAATATTGCATTGTATTTGAGTTGACTTGTATATTTTTTTTTATAAATTTTTGAATAAAAAGATTTTTCAAATTTCTTTCTTTATAAAATAAATAATACATTGCATTGTCATTGGTTCACATTTTTATAATCGTGTAAATCATTGCCAAGAGTGTCAAACACTAAAACAAAGATTCATTGAAACACTAAAAACAAAGATTCATTATTAAACATTGCCCAAAAATCCGTGAAGAAGATGTTATTTCTAGTAGAAAATTTATGCAATATCACATGCGAACATAGTGAAAATTTTGTCTCTAATCTTACCAAAGATAATACAATAAAACTTAAAATCATTTTCTTTCAGAATGGACAAAAAAAAAAAGTATGAAAGGCTTTTATTCTTTCAGCAACATTTATCAATTCAATGACTATAAATTTTGCCCATTTTTTGTTAATTTCAATTTTCAACTCTGTTAATACATTTTTTTTAATGAAATTCAGTATTATTTTTTTTTAAATCACATTAGGTACAATTATATATATATTATGGCATGAAATATGTAAGAAAATAAAATAAAAGCAATGAATTAAATTCAAATGTATCATTTAACTAAAAAGAAAAAAAAATACTTTTAATAAAAAAATGATTCTTTCTAAGTTTAATAAAAAAGATAATTTATTTTTAAACATAAGTTAAGTACCAATTTTCTGCTGGGGTTCCATATTTCTTTAATTTTTATTTTTCGCGTGAATCCAAAGTCAGCGTATCATTTAGTTTTTGTTTTTAATTTTTAACCTTTGATCACACAGGCTACCCTGCATAAATAAACGTTAGGTTTTAAATTAAAAACTAAAAGTAAACATTATTTTACTTTTTAAATCCAGTTAATCCTTAAATTTACTAAATGACTTCGAAATATCTCTAAGACAAATACTGGATTTTGAAGAGATTTTTTAGATTTGTTATTTTTACATTTATTTTTCTTTTATAATGGCAGTTCGATGAGTGACGAGTGAATGAGTCCATGTTCTAAAAATGCCTAATTTAAATTAATTTTTCTTTAAAAGTTTTTTAGGCTATTATCTTTGAAATTAAACCAAAATTTAACTTCAAAGAAGATATTTTTAAATTATTTAAAATGAATTTTCGTTTTCTTTCTTTTTAGAAAGTCAGTGACGGTAAAAATAATAATAATCACTTAGTTTTATATTTTAAATTGAATATGCTGAACCTCAAAATTGTTGAACTATTTAGGAGTATGGCGGAATTTTAACTAAATGCGAATATCAGAAAAGATAAAAAGCAATTAATTCACTTTTTAAATTTTCAGACAGTGTCATTTTTACGGGTACTATGCTAGTTTGTTTACGAAATCTATCACATAGAAAGTTATCCAAATTAATAATAAAATAAATTAATTGTAAATAATGAAAAGTTCGATTGGTCATTTTCCAAATCTTAGGATTCATTTTTTAAAATTTTTTAATGATAAAACGTAAACCCCCCCCCAAAAAAAACCCTAAAAATGTTCTGTGTTTAGTTTATACTTTTAATTACTTTAATGCTGAAAAAAAAAAAAAAAAAAAAAAAAAAAAAAAATTTTTACTTTATCATTTTTTTTACTAAATAAAAATTCTAGTTTCAACCTTTGGAAGTCATATTTCCTGCAAATTAACGTTGCATCGGCTGTCTTGCGAATGGCAATTTACACTTGTCACTTTTTGTTGGAAATGAAATAATATTCGATATTTAAAAAAAAAAAAAAAAATCTGGCACTGAATAAAAAATCCTAAAAGACGTCTTTTCGAAGCGTCAGTTTCATTTTCTTTTGTCAACCCGGTGATCACATAATTCAATTCATTAATCAGTATTTTTTAATTGTAAGAAGAATTATGCAGTTTAAAAACATTACTTTTTTAAACTAAAGCCATTTTTGTAAAATAAACTAGCTTTAAAAAAAGTTTGAAATACGCAACTATTTTCAAACTTTGAAATGATTTTTTTTTTTTACTTAAATGAATGAATGCTTTATGAAATCATTTAAGAAAATTGAAAAAAGTTATTAACTTAAATAAATTTACGTGTGGTATTGTAAAAAAATAAATTAGTCATCTGAAAATTAAATTCCTAAATTAGGGTACAGAAAAAAACGTAAATAAAACAAAATTACTTATTTAAGAAAAATAGTATGAAAAATTAGAAGCAGGAATGATGTTTTCTTTTAGAGAATAGAAAGAAAAATTCAACATTTAGTGGTAATATAAAATGTATAAAAAAATCCATACCAAGTGCTTTAGAAACTGCCAAAGCAGAACAACCTCTTCTTCTCACTATCGCAGCCATTGGTACTTTTGTCATAAACAACATTGTTTAAAATTGAACTTTGACCACAATTTGCGTTGATTTTATTAAACGATATTATTATTGTTATGTAGTAATAAAATTTCTGAAAAATAAAATTGATATTTAAAACAGATTAAAAACTTTGCAATATTCTCTTCAAGCTGCTGGATCAGACGAAAATCAACTTTGTATTCATTCAGTGTGAAGCTGTGAAAGTTCGAAGTTTAAAAAGTCAGGTGGCTGGAAGAGAAAGAGGAAAAAAACAAATTGTTTTAAGCATGGCTGGTGTAGGTGTTATTGGTGCATTGAGACAAATCTCTTCGAAATTTCACCTTTTATGTTTGCAAAGTAAGTCTAACATTTACACTTGATTCTTAGCAATATTTTTATTTAATTTACATTTTTCTTCGTTTTTGTACTGTTGGGGTATGTTTTCTTTTTTTTTATATCTGTCCCACTTTGTGACTCAAGAAAAATCGTTCTCATTACTAAGTCCGAAGTAATCGATTTTTTAATCATTTACTTAAAAATAAAATCTTTAGAACTCTGCCGTAAAAATAAAATAAATATAACATAATCGGGTTATCTGCGTATTTTTTCTAATTTCATCAAATTTACATTTACAATGTTGAAACCTAAAAAAAGTTAGTAGTTCAATGATGTTTTTCTTGCTAAACAAAAACCGACATCGAGCGTGCCGGTTTAAGAAATCTTTTTTTATTTATTATTATTTTTTAACAAACTCCTAGGTTAAACAAAAAAACAAATACTAGGAAAACAGCACATAAAAACTTTTTGAATGTTTCTAAAAATAAATCATTGCAATAGGTATTTTTTTTACTACTTTTTAGTTTAACAGTACTTTTTCCTGTTCAAAATTCGAGCTTTTTTGTTATGATGCACAGCACACCAAGATGTTTTTACTTTAACCTTACATTACACAATGACAATATAATTTAATTTTACAGCAGTAAAAATTGTCACCTTTATATTGAGTGAGTGAGCATTTGACTTGCACTCCGAGGAAGAAGAAAAACAAACAAAAAAGACACTCCATTTATTCAAATTGGCCCAAAGTCAAATTTAATTATAATTATTTTTTTGGCTTTTATCTTCTTGCATGGTATTTTAATTATAACGACGTTTCAGCCATGTTTCTTTACATTTACAAGCTATAATTGATGTATTTAATTATTCTTTGTACTGTTTTAAATCATTATATTTTGGATATTAAGCAGTTTTTTTGTTCAATCTAAGCAATAGATTTTTTTTTTACTTTCATAAATCAAAAGACAACTCTCCTTCAAATTTACTTCCCCTGTTTGTCATGATACGGAGTGGAATTCCAGGTCTTGAAATATGTGTATTTACAAAAACTCATTGTGGGATAATTACAGATAATGGTTGAGCCTCAGTAGTTGAACGGTCTCTACACGTTAAGAGATTTACAGGGGATATGGATCTGAAACCTTACGAACTGAAAGGAGTGGTCTGGCAATATGGATAATTTGAACGAGTAGTGATGGTAATTCCAAATTTTCAATGGGAGATCTTGTATTTTCTATTTTAAATTCTTGGACTCTTGGCAAGATACAGATCAATACAAAATTTGGTTACAGGTTTATCCATACTTAGCCAATAATTTCTGGAGTTAAGTAACTTTATAAATAGTCAAGTAAAAGTATGAGATAATGAATGCTAAAGATATTTACAAAATCTTTCAATATAAAATATCTATCATAAGAAATTGATGCATCACATAGCTTAGAATTATTATTTGACCAGTGTTTGGTAATAATTCTAAGATATGTGATGTATCAATCTCTTTAAGATAAATGATTTTAGTTCTTTAGATTGTGCCTAAGTTATTTTTGGAAAATCACAGCTCTACTTTTATTGCAACATACAATCAGCTAATATATTCTGATTGACTTGAATATCTATTTTGTTAAAAATGTGTGCAGTAAGATGTTTTTGTTGGCAATCTGATTTTGTTGGGTTTAAACTGAAAATTTCACATTTGTGATTTGATCTGTCAGTAAAATTACATGTTAACTTTCAGTGAAGTGACGAAAAGGAAAAACTGTTTAATAGGATTCTAGCAACCATATGTTGGAAGTAGAATACTTTTTTGAGTTTAACTTTTTGGTAAAGAATTAAATAGTAATGGCTATTGCATCTATCACTTGACTACTGTCAATGACCAATTGATAATCAGAGATTTAATATTAGGGTGGGCTAGGACAGCAATATTTGAAAGCAGTTGTACAATATTATTGAAGGAGTCTTTTCTCATATTGGAAAATTTGAAAGAACATTTGGAAATAGCCTCATACATTTAGACAGTATCATTTTGGCATAGGGAATAAGATTAAAAGACAAATGAAAAGACATCATACCTAAAAATCTATATAAACTCTTAGAATGATTTGGATAAGGAAAAGATTTCAATTTATTAATCATTTTGTCAGTGAGTAAAAGATTTTTTACACTCACATTATAACTGAAAAAAATTAAATGTCAAAATATCTAAATTAGAAACAAAGGCACATTTTTGACAGAAATTTTAAAATTGTTTCAATCTAAATTTATAAATGCTCTATCTAAATCATTTTATGTGCTTTTTTGTCATCATTAAATATTTGGATATCATCTAAAGGCTCAAATTTTATCTGTAAATCATTGAAATGTTGCTGTATTTTCCACTTGTAATTTAAAATGATTATATTCTACCAGTCTGAAAGTAGTTACTGTTGTTTTGTGTACATCATGAGGATGTAATTTTTATCTGGTGATTAGCCAGTTTATTTTAAAAAAATAGCATTTGTTGGCAATTTTATGGGTAAATTAATTGATATTTGGTAGTTCATATTTTGTAATACTACTCTGAGTATAATCACTACAACATCAGTTTTTATCAGATTTTGAAGCCAGATGGAGAAGGTATTAATCCAGAATTCTGAAGCTTCTTAAATTTTGCCTATACTGCTTTCTGCAGCAAAAGCTGATGTCCTGTGATAAACCATGCAGTATTTTTCAGTTGTATTTCCATGAGGTGATGTAAAAGTTGAGTATTTTTCTTTTTATTTATTTACTCACAAATTGAGTGTTGCTAATAATTATTAAAAATAGTCACATTTAAATTAATCTGTTCCTTTTGTAATATTGTCATGCATAATTGTTTATTTTTACATTTTATGGTTAAGCCAACGTTATTAAAAAAATGTAGGCCTAATAAAAGATTAGTGATATCAATGATTATAAAATACCATTGGAAATCAGGACTTTAAACCCACAGATTTGCTTGTTCTTGACATTTTTTTCTCTACCACTGTCAGATAACATTGATAGAGTTGATTCCCAAACAGTTCTGTTCACTATAGAAATGGGTAATGTAGAAATACTAGTACTAGTGTCAATGACAAATTTTATTTTGGTAGCTTCCAGTCAAGCAACAGTTTGGGTTTGTTGGAGCTAATGCAGTTTACTTAGGTAACTCCATGAGATTGCTAAAAAAAGAGCATAGCATGATGAAAAAGTTGCCAAACTTGACAAAAACAAAATTTTATCATCTAAATGTTTATTATTAAGAGGAGAGATCAAAGTATTTTGAGGATATTTTTTTACATTTTTTAATCGTTCCTAGCATGTTTGAAATTTTCATTAAAAATCTTTTTTTTCTTTTTTTTTGAGTAAGCAAAATTGATGATAATCAATCATGGCAAACATTTTTTTCCATTTTATAAAAAACATGAAAATTTCAGTTTGAAATTCTTTTTAAAAATCAATTATCATTTTTTTCAAAACATATTTATGAAAATCAGAAAATATAATGTTTATTTAAAATATTTTAAAACCAGCATTATTTAGTTTCTGCACCGAAAAGGTGTAGTTTGAAAATAAAACAAAGCAGGTCATAACATTTCATGTCACTTGACAGGTGATGAATGATGTATTGACGGATTACGTAAGGATAATTTGTTCTATGGAAGGAGAGAAGTGAAATTATTTAGATTTAAGTGAACAAATTGTTTACCTCGTTATTTTTAAGGAAAACTTTCAGCACTCTAATTTTCTTTTGTACTTAGCTTTCACCTTTACTTTGACAATGCTTTATGGAAAATATAAAGAAATTAAAATAAGATTGTTAAGAGTGAGATTAAATTTCATAAGAAAGGTATCTACTTAATTTATAGTTACCTTTCTTATGAAATTTTATCAGAAGTGTACATAAAATACTATAATTTTATGTACATTTATTACATTTGACTGTGTTATTTGTATTTCCATTCATTTTATTATTAATTTTGATATTTCATTTATGGAAAAATGTCATAACTGAGATTAATATAAAAATAAGATCATATAAATTTCATAAGATGATACTGATACTTGTAGGTACCCTTCCCAGTTGAAATTGAAAAATCAAATTAATTTCTCCAAGTGTTTTGCAAAAATTAAGGCCTTAACAGCGGAGAACAATGCTTAACTCAAATAACACAACTTAATTGTATTCTGGTTGGTCTTCCGTACTTTATAATTACAGCCCGATCATAAACACAAAATTACATTTCTTAATTACTGGGGTTGGTGTCTTCTGATTAGTCAAAACAATACAATTTACAATGCTCTATCTCATAAGGACACTTAGGAAAGCAGATGTGGTTTTTAACTAATTTTATAATATTTTAACAACTTAAATGTAAAAATCTATTATAATTAAAGAAATAAATAATTGCATTAAAAATTCATTTTTCATTGAAAAAATTTTTTGCTTTCAGAAAATATTGTCCATATTCATAAAAACAACTAAAAGCAAATAAAAGCATTTGAAATTAAATATCTTTGCGTTTAAGCATGAAACAGACTTACGTCACTGGGTGTTGACCACAATGTTGACTTTTATATTTACATCAGCTTTATCCCTGATATTAAGCACTTATAGCATACCTTAAAACTAATATATATATATATATATATATATATATATATATATATATATATATATTTACAGGGTTAGTATAGATGGAATAAAATTCCAATAAACAAAACACTATTTTTTAAAAAGTGATCAATACAAAAATAGAGCAAATAATATTTTTTCTATAATTATAACATAAACATGTTATAGCATCACTACAAAAATAGCTATTTTGTTTCAACACTTCTGTGATAGTGTTGATTGCAAAAATTTTTTTTGAAAATTCAAAACCAAATCAAACCCCCCTCAATAGGGGAAATATTGTTACATAAGCTATGATGACCAATCAGAATACAAGTATATGAAAATTCAAAAAAGCGACAATATATTCTAAATACAAACCATTAATGCATTAAAGTTAATGTTA